AGAACGACGTAAAACTCTTATCTCCGCGGGCTATTTGCATAACTAATTATTATGCAAGTGTAAGTCGCAAACAATAAAATTAACAGGATTGAACACTCAAATAACATCCTCTCTAAAACACAACCACACATTAGTATAGTTTGGGAAGTCATTGAGGTTTCTCATCAGTATTTGTGACGTTCCATACCTTTTACTTTCTTTGGACTCATGAAAGAACTGTTTCTACTTGAGCCACTCCCATTTGTTTTTCCACGTCCTATCGTGAAAACCTAAACTTTGAATTCTTGGATACTTGTACCACGGATCATTATTGAGAGTTTTCTCAAGTGACTCCCGTCATTTGAGATGTAATTAGCTATAAGGGCTTGCCTCTATAGGGAACTTGAAACCCATGTAAAATAAACCACCCTATTTAATCTTTGTAGTAAATAGGGGAACTTGTCGGTCACACATAAAAGGTTCGCAGACCAAACGGATGTCACAAATTTTTTAGTTTGCAAGATCGGGTTTATCGCCGAGGTATACACTTATCTCTCGGATGGTGTAGTATTCAAGGTACCAGACACAATTATGTAAATTATTAGATTAATGAGATCCATTCGGTCTCATTTTCTAAAAAAATAAAACACTACTTTCATAATTTAAACTATATACCTTATATTTAAATTAAATTTTCGAAAATCGTATTTTCAAAATCAAATTGAAAAGTTGACCGATAATACTCAATAAAATGGGGGGACAAAAAGGAAAAATAGACACTTTTTTGATCAATTATGAACTCTTGCAATGTTTGAAATATTATAAGGGGGAGTGTGACTCATAATTGCATATCTTATTAATAATGTCAATAGAGATATTAAAATTCAAAACTCTTTTGTTAAACCTTCATTAATGTTTATTCCACATATAGACATATTTGGATCATTCTTGTCAAATTGTTTGATTGCTTGTCTTTGTGCGTGTTAGTTCTCATCAAAGGAGCAAATTAGATCCAAAAGCCATAAAAGATTTTTGGCGTTGCTATTCTCCTTACCAATAAGGTCAAAAATATTATTCTCCCAATGCTAAAAGAATTTTTCCCGCGTCCTTCTTTGAAGATTAATCTTTCCTTAAAACTCACTTTTAGGGTGAGAACATCAATTCTCTTTATGAATATGAGTTATGTGATAATATCAGTTTACCGTATTGATCTCTTGTCTGTTATTTATTGCTATAAATTTTGATTGGCCACTTCATCAACTAAATGCAAAAAATGCCTTTTGGATTTGAGAATAGAAGAAAGACACTTTAAGTTTGCATTCTCAAGAAATTGTTGTATAACTTAATACAATCACTAAGAACTTAATGCGACAGATTCTTCATGGTGATTAAAAGACGTGGCTGCCTTCAAGAACAATATGATCACACATCATTTGCCAAAAAAATTATTTAAAGGTAAAATTTCTATCATTATCGTTTATTTTGATCATATCATCTTAACGCGATACTATGGTGAACTGCAAGATAAACATGCTAAAATGCGTCATTGATAATGAATTTGAAATTAAGGACCTTGACCTTTTAAAATATTTTCTTAGCATATAAATAGTAAAATCAAGCAAAGGAATATATATTTTGCAGCAAAAATAAATCTCATACTTACTAATGGAAATGAGCACGCTTTGATGTAAATCTGCAAACACACCAATGGATCATTTGAACAATTGGAAAAAAAGGAAGATTCCACTCAAGTTTACGGAGGAACAAGTGATTAGTAGGAAAATTATCTGTTCATTTTAGTGATGAATAATCCAACAAAGTTAACACCTTGATGTTTTATACATGATATTAATGTTTCTAAAAATAGAAAAAAATTGGATAAGGGTTTTTAATCAAAATGTGGATGAAAAGAAGCATAATAATTTCAATTGATGTTGATTATGCCAGATTTGTAATAAATTGTAAATCCATATTAAGTTGATGCTCATTCATGTAAGATCATTTTTGTTATTTGGTTTTTATTTTCTAATTTAATTTTGTTTTATTTTATATTTTTATTTGAATTAAAACATGTTTAACATATTATAATTTTTTTATGTATTTTGAATGCTGAATAATAAAATATGATTGGCTAGTTGAAGTTTGAAGTGGGTGGTGGCGGTCCCGTGAGGGAAGCAACTGGGGACTAATGGTGGTGGGGGGGGGTAGGGAAAGCAACTGACGACTAATGGTGGTTGGTGGTAGACAACAACCAGTGACAATCATCATTATTTTTTTAAGAAGATTTGAAACATCTAAGAGTTATTATGAGTGTTCTAAAAATAAGTTAATTTATTTAAAAAATATACACTAAATAAGTATAATGTTAAAAAGAAAAGCAAAAAAAGAAATAAGATCCAAATTAGGCTCTTAGTACGTGGTGAAGCAAAAATAGTATGTTGTTATTTGAAGCAGTGCTAAAGCAGAGAATCCAACGCTATGGTCCTTGGTGTTCGTGAAGATACGTGGCTTAAACTATTTGTCATGATTTATAAGTTTTCAATATAAAATCTATGATTATGAAATGTTGATATTCAACTATTAGTATTGTTAAGAACCCAATCTGTCATAATTGTTGAAAATAATTTGAAATTGCTGGAATCATTCAAATAAATTAGAACATGACAAAACTTCAATGTGCAAATGTCCTTATTTAAGCTCTTGATCAATTTAAATTTGAAAACTTTATTTCCAAATTGTGAATATTAAATATATGGCAATTTACATACATACCACAACAAACTATCGTATTTACCTATCTAACACCTAAAATCTAATACTTACTATTCCACCACTTAAAACAACATATTTCCCTAAAAAGTACCACTCTATTCGTCTCCATCCTTCTCCCATTTACCCCATGCAAAACTCTTATTTACAGCCCACCAAATTATACAACATGCTGTCACACACGGCCATCTCAAGTGTGGTTAGTTCTATCCCTTCAACCATGAGAAGATTCTAGAGAAAATCGGAAAAAGAAGATTGACCTAAGAGACTCTAAAAGGTTCCACCACATTCTAGAGAACGTTGAAAAAGGAAAGCTTCAGGAGAAACTCTAGGATAGTATAGAATGTTCATAATATAGAATTTTGTACAACAACAACAACAACAAAGCCTTAATCCCACTTCGTTGGGTTGGCTACATGAATTCTTTTTCTCCATTGCGTCCTGTTTAGTGCCATATTTTAAGAAGTTAAAGTATCTAATGTGACCTAGAAAGTTCTCTAATTCTTGAGGGAGGACTATAAATAGATTCCCCCTCATTTGGAACAACCAAAGGTTCTCAAGTAACCAAGTGTGTAAACATTCATCCCTTTGTGAAGCATTCGTTTTTTTCAATAGCCTCTCCTTACTTCCTTCCTAGAGAGTTTTGTATTTCCAAGTTCAGGCATTATAAGGGTTAGCTGACTTGGCGCTTAGAAAGAACGTCAAGGTCGTACGGTTGACTTGAGAGAAGTTTTTCTGTGAAAACATGCTTCTCTTCCACAACTACAAGCTCCACCCATCGCCACCTTGTTTCCATTGCCGCCGCGTGAGGTCGCTCCTCTATTGAATACCAAGTAACAGGTACGCTTAGACTTGCAACTCTTTTAGTGTGAAACCCTTACAGCTATGCTTAGATTTTGATCCCATTGCTTACCCTTTGTGCGATAGATCCTTGGCTAACAAATTTGACCAACCTTCATTGATCCAGTAGTTCCACTGCATTGATCCAGTAGTTCCACTGCAGCGTGAGGTCACTTGCAATAGATCCTGGGCTGACAAATATGACCTACCCTCATTGATCCAGTAGTTCTACTACAGCGTGAGGTCACTCTAGGTCCTTGGCCCCAGACTTCTCCTTGCAATATGTGAGTTATCTTCTGCTTTATCCTCCAAATTGCTGTCATGTGGCCTACTTAACAGCTCTTTTTTGGAAGCGTTGAGGTGGATACATTTTGGCAATGATATAATCCGTGTTATTAAGTAATTTTTGAGGTGTATCATACATCTTGCATCTCCCATGAGAAGGGAAATCTCCCATGAGGAGGGCCATGACGACCCCAATTAATTGATGAGACATGCCAGCTGGATTGTCTGATGTGTTAAATTGGTGCATACAGCTTCAGTAATTGCTCAACTCGGCTGACTATCTAATTGATTGTTGCTATTGCTTATCGAAAAGAGTATGAAAGATATTGTTTATTTCATTTATCGTTCAAGAATTTTTGTTTGTCATTGAAGTGAAATAAGAAGATAATGCTATGACAAGTGGAAAGCTGCTAGAAATGATACAATTGGAAGTTGTTCTATGCTTCTAAACGTGGATGTAACACTATTTACTTATAAATTACATAGAAATTAAAATTTCATAAGTAACCAGCTTAAGCTTTTCATTTCTGTAAAGATGATTGCTTCCTGAGTGATAGTAGTTTGCTCTACTTTTCTTGTGTATAGACAGAAAAATAATTTATGGAGAAGGATTGGATTTTGATTTCACCACAAGAGTAGATGACGAATGACATTTTGGAACTGATATTTGCTTTTGGATGCCTGAGTTTATATACGAGCAATTTAAGAAATACAATTTAAGAAATACTTTACAGAAGTTAGGACTGTTGCAATCTTCCCATCTTTTGTGAACTAATTTTATTTTTTTTAGAAAATTAATTTTGGGGCACAGTACTAGGTCATTTGATATGCAATGCTCTTACATTAACATCAACTTAAATTTCGGTTGTTAATCACATAGGACTTCACAGTAACCGAATCTGTTTCATTTACTGCATGATTTTTCGATTGTTTGCGGGATCTTCCACTAAGCAATAGGTGCTTGTTCTCATTTTGCTGGATCTTCCACTAAGCAATAGGTGCTTGCTCTCATTTTGCTTGATCTTCGAACAAGTAATAGGAGCTTGCCCTCATTTCCCTGCTTACTCATCTTGTTAAACAATTATATTTCATTTTGTTTCTTATTATTTGATTCGTATTCTCTCTAGATATGAGAAACGAAGAAATAATGCTAAATTCAATGGTGCAAGCAAATCCTCAAATTCTCCCTAATGGATTCTAGCAAATGTGCAGAGGAATTGAAAGCTGGAAACCTCGCAGCAACTGCAGCATCCCATTTCTTGTGCTTGTCCTCAGCAACTGCAGCAGTCACCTTCTTCTGCTCGTCCTTCAGGATAGATTTCACCATTTGTGGAGTAATTGATATGCCTGCTAAAAACTGCTAACTTCCCTGGAACTGCATCATCTATAAACGAGATTCTAGCATGCTGGATCCAAAGAGCTGCTGCTTGCAGACAATGACAATGTGTTTGTTGTCTTCAGATAAGCCATGGCCTTTAAAAGACTTGCCACATAGTTAATCAAATGATAGCTATTGTTAAAATTTTACTTCCAAAGTTTTTCATTTCTTGTTAGTTTTTCGAATTTCTGAAGCTTTTCATGGACTCTATATAATGAATTAATTTTGCCATGTATAAGAAATTTGCTGCTGCAGCAGTTAATTTCTTTCTAAGTTTCATTTGCTTGATGTATTATTTTTTATCAAAAATAATGTGGCTTGTTGTCAAATTTGATTTCTAAATGAAAATATTTTGCATTAATCCTATCACTATAAATTATCTAATCTGTGAATTTGATTGTTAATAAGCTCTGCTTTCTTTTAAAGCATTGAAATTCAATGCTGATCATGTTGGGCATCTTGGTTTCGGGTTAGCTAAGGTTGGAAGTGTTGGAGAGTTGTTATTGTTTCTTTGTTCGGCTAATTTTCATTTTTGCGCCGTAAATTTGTGAAAAATTTTCTGTCCAGACTCCGAACATAGAGCAACGTCCGGAGTTCAAGGAGACGATGCCACCTGTATGTGCGGGTCTTGTTGTGAATATAGATGTGATTCACTGTTCAAATTGACATTTTCTCATCTTTGACAGCAGATTAGATTTGATACTCGAAATTAATTGCTCTTAATTCTTTATATGATCTGTTGCAGAAGAGAAAATGAAATAATTAATGGGCTTCATTAATTATTTGATTAATTCCTTAATGGGCCTAATGACATGATAAAATTAATAAATAGGCATGCTAGCTCCCATTGTTATCTCTCTCGGGATTTGATTTCCCAGGTTTTTTCTTCGACATTGGTAGCTTTTCGGGTTCTTCTGATGTGCTTCGGTTTGAAGCTTTCTGGTAGAGAGAGAGAAGAGGAAAGGAGAGAGAGAGGGAGAGAGAAAGAGTGCTTTCTTGTAATCCTCGAGGTGATCGACGGATAAATTCCCCGAAGAATAAAATCCTCTGCAGCTCCGTGGATGTAGGCAATTTGCCAAATCACATAAATCCGTGTGCTTCCGCTGTTGTTTTTGTTTTGCAATTTTTCTCGATTTGGTTTTTCGTCTTTTTTCACAAGAACGATAGATGAAGACGAAATGATGATATTGGGGATCGAAAAGTTTAACGACACAGATTTTGATTACTGGATGGAGGATTCAGATAGATGACCATCTCTATGGGAAGAAATTTCATCTTCTGTTATTGGGAAAGCGATCGGAAAATACGGATTCCCTGTCAGGGAATCGTACTTGAGAGTTGACAGAACTTCCACCAGGGAAGAAGACAGTGTAAAACAAGTGGGTGTATCGGGTGAAGACTGTGCTTGATTACGGTAAGCGGTACAAGACTAGACTTATTGAAAAGGGCTTTCAGCAGAGGCAGGTATTGCCCATGCAGTGGGAGTTGTGAGCAGAAACATGAGTAACCCAGAAAAGAGCTTGGAGGTACGAAGCTATGTTAATGATGATATGTCGACTAAGAGTATTATTCTTGAGAAACTGAAGTTGTGCTCTACTTCAGCTGGTCTTCTGACATGAAGACTGGGGTTTTGAGTTGCAGAGGTGGAGGATATCACATTTGGAGAAAAGGGCGAAATAACTAGTGGATGATGCAGCCAGTGTACCAGTCTCAAAGTGGGAGATTTGTTGTGAATATGGAAACCGGTTCACTGTTCAAATTGACATTTTCTCATGTTTGGCAACAAATTAGATTTGATACTCGAAATTAATTGCTAAATTAATTGCTCTTAATTCTTTATATGATTTGCTGCAGAAGAGAAAAATAAATAATTAATGAGCTTCATTAATTATTTGATTAATTCTTTAATGAGCTTAATGATATGATGAAATTAATAAATAGACATACTAGCTCCCCTTGTTATCTTTCTCGGGATTTGATTTCCCAGGCTTCCTCTTCGACATTGGTAGCTTTTCGGGTTCTTCTTCTGGTGTGCTTTGGTTTGAAGCTCTCGGGTAGAGAGAGAGAAGAAGAGGAGGAGAGGAGAGGAGAGAGACAGAGGGAGAGAGAAAAAGTGTTTTCTTGTAATCGTCGAGGTGATTGACGAATGTATTCCTCAAGTAATAAAATTCTCTGCAGTTTCGTGGACATAGACAATTTGCAGAACCACGTAAATCTGTGTGTTCCATTGTGTTTTTTGTTTTGAGAATTTTTCTCGATCTGTTTTTTCACTTTATTGTTGTCGTTTTTCACAACAGATCCATGCGAGAAAACTATAAAAAAATAAAAAAAAACGTAAAGCCATATTAGAAAAAACGTAAAGACTTTTTTTGGCCGTTTTGATTGTCCTGTCTTTTCGACTATCCCGCTTTTAAAAAAACCCTTGAGGATTCCTCGAGTTCAGGGTTTCTCCGTTGCTCTGTTAGGGTTTTGTTGTGCTTCTGCGGAGAGTTTCGAAGAAGTGACAAAATGGAGTTGAATGATCCCCATAATATGCAGTTGGAAGAGGTGAGAAGGCCGGAGTTGGAGGCGGCTGGGGAACCACCAAAGAAGAAGATGAAGAATGATAGTAAGAAGGAGCACAAGAAGAAGGAGGGCATTGAAGCGGAAACCTTGTTCTGGTAAATTTTATTGAGTTATTCTTGCTTTATTTTAGAGTTCATCTCGACCGTGTCTGGGTTATTGTGGGGTTATTATTGAGTTATTCTAGATTTAATCTCGCTTTTGTTTTTGATTTTTGAGTTATTTGCGGGTTATTTTTGGGTTATTCAAGGATTATATAGGAGTTTACGTTTGGGTAATTCATTGTTTATTCTTGATTTATTCTCGGGTTATTTATTTTTGCTGGTAAATATTGGTGGAGATCCCTTTCCTTGCCATGAAAATGAACATTTACCAGTTTATTTTTTTTAAAAACATCATTTCCATCCCCACTTGCATTATCTTGTGATCTGTTCTTGGTTATTTAAGATCTAAATGGTTTCTTATATATGAAAGTTATTGGTATAAGCTACGAAGTCTTAAGATCTAACTTTTATTAGTGCAGGTATTGTAAAAATTCCTACCTTGGTTCCTTTCCTTGATTTCAGTTGGTACCTTTGGATATTTGTGGTGGTCTTTCTAGCTGTGAATGATTTATTCATGAAAATTTTTACCACTCGTCCAAGCTGTATTCATTTTCAATGAGTTCTATCAGTCTAATTCTTAGTGCTGCTCAAGCTTCTATATCCAAAATTTTGTTTAACCAACCTAACAGCTTTTGTTATATAAAGAACTGTCATGATTTAAGTGCTGCTGTAACAAAATGATTATACTATACTTCCATATTATTCAGCACCTTAAGTGCTGATTTAACTGTCGTGTTATAAGTGCAGCTGTAACAAACCTAACTTCAAAAATTATTCTTGTTTGCATGTGTATAGCATTTGGTATGTGCCGTTGTTATTTGTTACCAGGTGACCTGCTATATATGTGGCAACTTTTTTTAGTAAATATATTTGGTATGTATGGCATTTACATTCAGACCACCCAATTCCTATGTTTTTCTGTTCCTTATTTGAATGAAGCTTCGGCTGTTGTGAAAGATGAAGCTATGCATACATATTACTAATGCATTGGTGTCAATATTGGTAAGTTATTTTGTTTGCAGATGGTGACTTTTCCACGAGTTAAAAGTGTGTTGCTACATGGTTTACATGTTAGTGAAAACTGTAGCACTTCCGCTTGAAATTAGATGAAAGGGATAACAAAAAAGTTGTAGAAATTTTTTGTTAGCATTCCATCGCCACTAAAATTATCCAATTCTATTGAGAAATGGCTGCACAATGGCTGAAATAGCGAGGTAGGTTCTGCTGTTGCAAAACAGATTTCCATTTCTCGAATGTTCATAAAAATTGTAGCGCTTCCACTTAAAATTTTGATGAAATGGATAACAGAAAAGTTGTAGAAATTTTTGTTAGTGTTCCATCGCCACTAAAATTATCCAATTCCGTTGAGAATATAAACTGAACCATTTTATGAGCCAATCGCATGTCACTGCATGGATGTTTATCTGTAGAAAATATGCCAAAAAATCCTTACCGGACAAAATTGCAACTATGAGGGGGATAGCCTCTAGTATTTGAGGACTTTCTATTGAAGTTCAAGCTTTGATACTGATTTAAACCCAAATCTGAACTTGATTCAAACGTATATCCTTAAAATATTGAGAAATTTACATACATACCACAAATTTTATGTATATACATACCCAAAACCCAAATTTTGATATTAACACATATAACACTGCAAAGTCAAAACCACATCATAACATATGCAAGAAAAGGTATATTGCATTTCAGAAAAGTTAATATTTACCACAAATTTTATGTATATACATACCCAAAACCCGAATTTTGATATTAACACATATAACACTGAAAAGTCAAAACCACATCATAACATATGCAAGAAAGGGTATATTGCATTTCAGAAAAGTTAATATTACTGATATTTTGATATGATGTTAAAGATTGAGGTGTTGTATAGGTATCAAGGTTATAAGGCTCCTGCTGACTATTTTTGGGTTAAGATTTATGTATTAATTTATTGCTATGTATGACAAGCTTAAATCTACACAAATTGCTGCAATTAAATACATTTGAATTTGATCACATCTCAAATTTGCTTCTTTAACTAGATGATCATGTCAAAACACATCTTTAGGATGTTAAATCTTAGCAAAGCAAAGTAGACAAATTGTTTGGCAAGATCAGTATTGTAGACAAATTAACAGAAAGATATAGCAAAGCAGACTTCCTACTACAAAAGCATTGTATGGCAAGCTTAGGTCTACAGAAATTGCTGCAATTAAATACATTTGAATTTGATCACATCTTAAAAAACTAGTTTGCTTCTTCAACAAGAGGAGTATGTCAAGACACATCTTTAGGATGTTACATCATTGCAAAGCAAAGTATACCCATAAATGATTAATAAAAGCAAAATACAATGAAAACAAACAAATGCTAATCAATTACAAAAACATGGTTATTGAAAGTAAATCTATTGGCAACTTAATCACAAAGCTTACGGTTGCAATTAAGTTCCTTTGGATTGTTAAAATTCTCCCTTTTTCTTAGAGGACCAAAAAAAAAGAAAGAAAATAAATAAAACATTTAATGGACCGCTTATCAATATGATTCCATCAACACCTAAATCATGCAAATTAGAT